GGTGTGACAGTGAAGGAGCCACAGGACAGATGATATATGAGAAGGGACAGATTGAAGCGCCCTCTGCTGGTGTGACAGTGAAGGAGCCACAGGACAGATGATACATGAGCAGGGACAGATTGAAGCGCCCTCTGCTGGTGTGACAGTGAAGGAGCCACAGGACAGATGATACATGAGCAGGGACAGATTGAAGCGCCCTCTGCTGGTGTGACAGTGAAGGAGCAGGGCTCGAAGCATCCACGGAGAGGATTCCAGAAGGGCAGGCCAAAGTTCAGGGAGCTGCCACAACGCAGACGGATTAATGGCAGCTGCTCAGCCCTGGGTCTTGGCAAGTAATGCGCCCTGCCACTCCACTGGGGGACAAAACTCCAGGGTCAAAAAGGAAAGAAAGTGCCCTGCAAAAGGGCTGGAGTACGAGCTGTGTTTGCAGCTTTCAGGAAGCCCAGGGAGACTGGTGTATAATTTCAGTGATTAACAAGAATTGGCATGACGGACCTTTGCTGCCATCAGTATGACGATGCTGGCCTAGCAGATATATGCTACTGATCAAAATGCAAATACGACATGAAGTCACTGTTTAAAACCATGTGAAGTCGATAAATATCCTCGACATTAATTTGATGAGCTCCAGAACACACTGACTGTCCTGCACACAGCGCTGAATATACTCACAGCTTTAGCAAGCCTGCTCATCCTATCTGCTTTTTAGAAACAATGCCTGCAAATGCACATGCTGCCCTCTAGTGGTTGTAGATATAATTACAGAAATATTGACTGCTACCAAACGCAGCCTGTTGTAATCTTTCTTCTTATCAGAAGAAAGTGCCTGAGTTTCTCACATTACTCTAAAACAGAAAGTAAATTCATTATGAATAAGTAGGATCAATCACGGTTCAGTCTCGAACCTCATGACGAAGATCAGACCCAACATGAGGCTAAGACATGATCTACTCCAAGGGGATCCTGACACCTAGTTTGCCAGGCTGCCATTCCAACTCTTCCACAAAAGAATGTGATGCTCTTTAGCTGGACAGCCTCGCATGCTGATGTCAGCTACACGTAAAAAGCAGAGGCAGAAGGTGTGCAGCACAGCCGCCTGGATGGAGGCATGGAGGCACGGAGGCACAGGGGCACAGAGGCACAGAGGCACGGAGGCACAGAGGCACAGGGGCACAGAGGCACAGGGGCACGGGGCACTTCTCCGGCAGCATCAGAGATACACAGTTATGTATCCAGCAGGCTGAAGCTGCTTCCCTTTTAGCTTTTAGTCAGGTGCAAATTCATATTTCAGACAGTGGGAAATGTGCACAAAGAATGGCCTGTAGGGGGAGACATAGGACACGGCTGGAGCCTGCGTTCTGAGGATGTCTTCCACCCCGGCGTGACATTCGCAGCACTCCCCGCAAGTCAAACCTATGCCACAGCGTGAGTGGCAACCTGCTGCATGTAATGCCACTGCAGGGAATCTGCATGGTCAGCCCCAAGCGCATCACCTCTCTTATCAAAACAGGCAGGCTTTTAACAGCCTAAAAAGGTGCGTTTCGACACAGACACCCGGTCAGTTTGGTCACTTCCTATCATTTTATGACATTTTGATTGACTTTGTTCAGCAGACACTTTCTCTAAAGGGCTCCAGCCCCGAACAGTAAAACCACCCTGTTGATGATGGGGTTTGAACTGGCAACCTTCTGACCAAAACCAAGTCACACGGTGCCCCCTGCGGACAAATGATCACGAATCAATCGGCTCACTGATGTTTCCACAGTCTACAAAGCACAATGAACAGGTTCCCCTAGTCATGTGACCTTACTGGCCCATCTGGGGATAGAGAACATGGAGCACTAGCCCAGAGCCCACTGCTCAGCCCTCGTTAATGGGCCCCACCTCCCTCACCTGGTTGTAGAGGGCACAGACATGCAGTGCTGTGTTCCCAGAGGCATTCTGCGCACTCATGTCCGCACCGTAGAACAGCAGGTGCTCCAGGTGCTGCACGTGTCCATAGCGGCAGGCCTGGGAAGAGAGGGACAGGCACATTGCAGTTAGAGCTGCACTTCACATCCACAGACAGCATCGCATCTATATGAAGAAATTTAGCTTACAGCTGGGTAGGCATTAAGGTTGTCATAATTAGAATTAGGGCTATGGCCATTGAAATGAATAGAGAGTCCCCACTATGATAGCAATATATGAACTGTGTGTGTGTGTGTGTGTGTGCATGTGATCTGCATGTGTGTGTGCATGGTCTGCGAGTGTGTGATCTGCATGTGTGGCCGGCAAGTGTGGTGTGTGTGTCCATGGTTTGTGTGTGCGATCTGCCTGTAGGTGTGGACTGTGAGTGGGTGTGCAATCTACGTGTGTGTGGGGTCTGCAAGTGTGTTTGCATGGTCTGTGAGTGAGTGTGTGTTTGGTCTGTGTGTCTGTGGTCAGCAAGTAGGTGGCTGTGTGTATGGTCTGTGGGTGTCTGCATGTGTACATGGTCTACAAATGTGTGGTCTGTGTGTGGTCAGAGAGTGTGTTTGTGTGTGTGTGTGTGTGTGTGTGTATGTATGGTCTGCCTGGTGTGTGTGTGTGTGTGTGTGAGTGTGTATGTATGGTCTGCCTTGTGTGTGTGTGTGTGTGTGTGTGAGTGTGTATGTATGGTCTGCCTTGTGTGTGTATGTGTGTGTGTGTGTGTGTGCGTGTGTGTGTGTGTGTGTGAAGACTTCAGCACACATCCCTGCAATGAGGAGTTAAAAGCTGTGCCTAAAGCCAGCAGAGACTGTGTGGGCTCGAGCGTGGGTGTGCAGAGTACAGCCTCCCACTGCAGCAATAAACACCCTTCCCCTGAACGCATCGTTACTGTGGGACCTCATCCTCTGATTACTGGTGTAACGAGAGGGGCAAAAATGATATTTAAAATTATAACATTGTTCAGTTACAACAGTGTATTATTTTTTTTATATAAAAGAATAAAAATAGCTAAATCTCTTTCCACAATAAGGAAACAGCTACCTGACTGCATTTTTTTCATGTAATAGGCTGTGAGCAGGAAGCCAATTTAAAACCCAGGACTGGTCAGTGAGATTCACACCCAGAACCAGCCACCCATTCGGTTTCACCATGACATAAGAGGGGAATTCGCCAGATTATCATCAGCTATGGCCAGTGTAACACACACACAGACACACACACACACACACACACGTACACACACAGACACATACACACACATACACACACACACACACACACACGTTGGTATTTGTATATCTTTGTGGGGAGGGTCCACTAATTTCTATGGCCAAACCCTAAATCCAGCAATGAGAACCTTAACCCCTACGCAGCCCTGACCTTAACCATAAGTAACCCAACAAAATCCATTCACTTCTTTGGGCAAAACATGACCCCTCTAACCCTAACCATAATTAACCAAAGAACACAGCATGCGGCATGTACCTGGTGGATCTCCTGCCAGCCGTTCTCGTCCAGGCAGCCCACCTGCGCGTGATCATGCAGCAGCAGCTCGCAGCAGTAGGGGTCTCCCCCCACCATGGAGCTGTGGTAGAGTGGGCTCAGGCCCCGGCTGTCCTTGTAGTCTGGTGAGGCGCCCAGGTCCAGCAGCGTCTGCACGGCCAGCGAGAGCAATGCACTCGTCTTTGAGGTTGCACTGAAGGTTACGAGCACCCCCCCAGCACCCCCCAACCTGACTCACGATGAGGGCCACGTGGTTCTTGCTGCGCACGGCCTTGTGCAGAGCCGTTATGCCGTCCTTGGTCCTGAAGTCCAGGTGGGCTCCTCCGCTCCTCAGAACTTTGATGAGCTCTGCAGATCCATCCAGCTGGGCTGCCATCGTCAGGGGACATTCTACACACACGCGGACAGACACACACACACAGACATACAGACACACACGCAGCAGAGAAGACAGAGTGAGGCTCGGACCCTCAGCCAGACCAACGGAGGAGGAAGATACTCAGACAGGCTGCTGCCATCCAGAGGGGCAGATTAACCTTCAAACGTCGGGGAAACGAGAAGCGCGTAAGAGCGACAGCATTCCTAAGAGAGCGCTCTCAGGGTGCCTCTTAGATTTTATTCTGGAGATTCAAGGAGTGATGGATAAGGCAGCTGAAGCTCACCTCCCGACTCTGGATCGTGGAAATTCGGGTCGAGCCCTTTCTCTAGAAACCTGGAGACTTTCTCGGCGTTCCTCTGTTGGACGTGCTCCATAAATTTCTTCAGGTTGGCCTGAGCAGTGGAGACAGACAGCTGAGTGTATATATAGAATATATAATACACACAGTTATATACAGATGGAGAGGGGGGGTGGATGATGAAGAATCAGACGAGAACACAGCAGATGCAGGAATCTATTGATAGACAGAACCTGATAAACCCAAGAAAACCAGCAGTCCTACGTGAGCCAGAAAATCACAGCGAGATGGTGTGCAGGAGAGAGCTGGACCCCCACACACAGGTACAGAACTGGCACCAGTCCCTCCTCACTCGGGCCATGCAAATGGAGTCAGCTGGAGGAGACTGAAGTTTGAGCATCTCCTTGGAATTCCCATGTCAATGCGCAGCCCATAACACAGGAGTACTCACCTTCATGATTATTAACTATTACTTTGAGCTGCTTCAAAAGCATAATAAAAATCTGCCATATTCTGCCTTTTAAGAGCTGAGAAAACACAGGTGCTGAACTGGTTCAATACAGACAAAGAACCTGAACACAGCAGACAGGTGGAGAGAGAGCCTTAGCAGTGCCACGCCAGTGCTCCACCGTGCCAGCACTCTCCCCATGCCAGTGCTCCACCATGCCAGCACTCTCCCCACGCCAGTGCTCCACCGTGCCAGTACTCTCCCAACGCCAGTGCTCCACCCTGCCAGCACTCCCCATGCCAGTGCTCCACCATACTAGCACTCTCCCCACGGCAGTGCTCCATCATGCCAGCACTCTCCCAACGCCAGTGCACCACCATGCCAGCACTCCCCACGCCAGTGCTCCACCCTGCCAGCACTCTCCCAACGCCAGTGCTCCACCATGCCAGCACTCTCCCAACGCCAGTGCTCCACCATGCCAGCACTCTCCCCACGCCAGTGCTCCACCGTGCCAGTACTCTCCCCACGCCAGTGCTCCACCGTGCCAGTACTCTCCCAACGCCAGTGCTCCACCCTGCCAGCACTCCCCATGCCAGTGCTCCACCATGCCAGCACTCTCCCCATGGCAGTGCTCCATCGTGCCAGCACTCTCCCAACGCTAGTGCTCCACCCTGCCAGCACTCCCCACGCCAGTGCTCCACCCTGCCAGCACTCCCCACACCAGTGTTCCACCGTGCCAGCACTCTCCCCATGCCATTGCTCCACCATGCCAGCACTCTCCCCACGCAAGTGCTCCACCGTGCCAGTACTCTCCCAACGCCAGTGCTCCACCGTGCCAGCACTCCCCTACACCAGCGCTGCCGCAGCCCCGACACCAGTGATCTCCCACTCTAGCATTTCCCCCACACCAGCAGTCCTCCACCGCGCCCCCACAACAGTGCTGTCGCGGCCACAACGCCAGGTCTCCCCCAACACCAGCACTTCCTTCTAGCGTAGCCTGTCAGCTGTAGATCACAGGCATGTCCCTCTGGCGTGCTGTGAGCTGGAGACTCCACTGGCATCGTTACAGCGAGGCAGGGAACAGCACTCACGTAGCGCAGGGCCCGTCAGCACGCATAATCCTTAACGGGGGATCTTCCCGTGTTTGATCTCTGTAATCCTCACTTCCATTTTACTAATCTAAAGGGCGGTGGGGAGGCTTGCCACCCAAAGCTTTCCAGAGTAATCCTCAGAGTAATGCTCAGAGTAATCCCCAGAGTAATCCCTAGAGTAATCTCCAGAGTAATCCCCCAGTCAGAGTAGCAAACGGGACCTGGCCGACTGTGAGGAGAGCACAGGACAGGGGCGTCTCTGGCCAGCTGAGACTCAGTGTGAGCTATTACGGGAAGCAGGTGATGCCAGGGAGTAGCATGTTAGGACCTGTGATCGGAAGGTCGCTGGTTCAAATCCCATGGATGACAGAGTGATTTTACTGTTGAGGCCCTGAGCAAGTCCCTTAACCTCAAATTTCTCCAGGGACTGTCTGACCCCCTCAAGAAACTTCATCAACAACTTTGGATGAAATGATCAGCTAAATAAATAATAAATTAAATGTTTACATTTTAAATATTGACACAAACCTGTCAAACGAGCTCTTGAAGATACATGGAGAAACATCCTACCAAAGAAACCAAACACGTTCCACATGTCTCCACAAAATCGCTCCTGAGGTGCAAAGCTGATTCACTCTTCATGGTTACTGGCTGATGCTGCGTGACCTGAAGGACACATGAACCACGAGAAGCCAAGGTTGCAGTGTGAGGGCACAGATCCGTCACCTAAATGCAATTCCCAAAGCAAGGCTCTTCTCTTCACCTTGCATCTGAAACAGTGAGGGCCTGTAACAGCAGCTGACGTACACGTGAAGGGGCTCACACGTTTGTGCCAGCGTACACGTGAAGGGGCTCACACGTTTGTGCCAGCGTACACGTGAAGGGGCTCACACGTTTGTGCCAGCACCCTCGCTAAAGTACAGCCACCCTGCGGCAGAGTCTGTCTTATCGCCAAAAGAGCCCAGAGGGACCAGAGGAGGCCAAGTCCCAAGGCTTCTGTCTGCAGGCCAAGGAAATGTGACAGGATGTGGAGGGAGAGCTTTCAGGCAGTGAAAGGATGCACTGTACTTTAAAGGGCTTCTCCTCCAAGACATGAACCTCCTGCTTGATGAAGTACAGGCCCATCTCTGTGACCAGGAAGACTTTAATGCCTTGAAGGTTCCTGTGTCTCCAAACTGCAGCAGACCGGGTTTCTGTAGTTGGCGCAGTAAACTGGTTCCTGTGGCATCAACCACGGTCCCTGAAGCTGGCACAGTCTGAGCAGAAAAACACAGGAGCACGCTTGGACTATGTGGCCGTCTGCCTGGGCATTGCTGGGGATCGGAGCTAAGGAGGGAACGGGCCCCCAAGCAGGACAGCAGCCATCCAGTCAACACGTGCCTCCAGCACCAGCCATTCAGAGCATCTCCAAGAGGCCGTGTGGTCAGGGGTAGCGCTGAATGTCTCAGATGCACGCAGAGCTTCTCGCTCGTGACACGTGTCACCAGGAGACCAAAGCCAATTAAAGGAACAAGCATGCAAATGTTTAATCACTCGCTGAGCCTGACGATACGGAGTGGATGTGTGGGGCATAGCTTGTCACCATGAAGGGGAATAAAGCGTGACACCAGAGGACAGGGAAACACACAAGGCACAGAGCAAATTAGACACCCCGTCAGATTGCATTCGCTCCAGGCGTGCTGGATGGACGGCTGACCCTGTGGAAGTCGCTCAAAGGAGAGCATTATGGGATATGTGACACCCAATGTACTTGTGCAAATGGGAAAATAAAGCATCATTTAATTTCATGTGCTTTTCAAGAAATTAGGGTACAAATAGATGTGACACCTTCTCCCTCCCTCACCTCAGGAAAACAAGAACTCTACAAGCGAACAGCGCCCAGAGGGAAGGTGCAGAAAGCGCTTCTACAGAGGCTGAACACAGGACAGCCCAGAGCACAGCTGGGTACACAGCACCTGGGCTGGACATAACAGCACAGACACAGACACAGCAATCTGACCTCTGGCCATCGGGGTGAAACGGAACGGCGGTGCAACCCAGCAACGGCATCACGGCCTCCCCTGGGGGGGGGGATAAATGTGCACAGCTGACAAACAGAACAAAAGAGACAACAGGGAAGTGAGAGAACAGAATGGAGGTGAAGGGTCCCAGGAACACATCAGTGCAGGTAAGAGGGTAGGAAGGAAGGTGCAAAGGGCAGCTTCAAGAAACATGTTCTGGTTACACCTGACCCAGTTCTACCTGCACCCCGAACCGCTCCCTCACATACCTTGAATGCTCTTTTTACATGTTAGGTTCCTGTTGTGTAGCTCTTGCTGTAATGCTGCCTTGCTTTTTTTTACGAGAAGATCAGCTTTCACATGAGCCAGCGACTCACCAGGCTCCAAACACAGCAAAAAAAAAAAATATATATATATATCCACACACACACACACACACACACAGACACACGCAGACACACATTTTAAAGGGCACAGATTGAGAAAACATCTGAGCCCCATTTTCAGCAGTGTAATTTCAAGAAGCACATTTTGTTAAATGGTGACTAATAAGGTATGACTGCCTGATTCTCACTTAAAACCAGCCGCACACAGGACTCCATCTGAGGCAGGAGATGCACAAGGCAGGTAGGGAGGGATCTTCATGCATAACATCAACAAGATGAGCACTCAGACATGCACCAAGCTCAGACGATGCTCACATGCTTGCACCGGCGCATTCTGTTAGTAAAGCTTCAGTGAGACTGCGTTAAAGGGGACTTATTATGCTCATTTGCACTGTTCATTAATTTATTTTTCGGGTCTACTAGAATAGATTTGCATGCTTCAATGTTCCAATAACCTATTATTTTTCCGATGCTGTGCATTTCGATTCGCCCTCTGTATGAAACACTGTGTTAGAGCTTTAAACCCCACCCACAATGAGCCCGGTGTGCTCTGATTGGTCAGCTTGCCTCATTGGTTGGTTTGCCCTACATGCTCCGCCCCTATCTTGTAGTCTGCAGACAGAGCTTTATAGGTAGGCAGCAAAAATGGATTAGCTATGTCATGGAAATAAGAGCTGGAATTCCAACAAGGCATTTCTTGCATATTAGAGAAGAGTGGATTTTGCGGTGAGTTACTCCCTTTGGCATGTACTTTGGGCCTTAAGACTATGTGATGCACTAAAGAAAAGGGGAAAACTGCAAAAGCATAACAGGTCCCCATTAATGCCCATATTTATTAGCTTTCAAATATGCATTGTGCTAAACAAATAACCCCAGCTCAAAGGCAGTCGGTGAGATTGAATTTTCTATGCAATTTCATTACACTCAGGCATGTAAAAGCGCAGAACGATTTCACAAACAATGAGGAAAATTGAAGCCGCACGCTGTCCCAGAAAAGCCCTGTAACTACAGAAGACATCAAGCCATCCGGCGGTAAATCCAGGTGGATCTGTCCATACTGACCTTGTTTACTTGGGAACAGATTCACCACACATTTGCAAGCCTCTTAACCAAGTTTGCTCAATGTAACAAAGAGAGCAAATAGTGAGAAAAGTGCAGGAGGCTTTGGG